GAGAAAATGAGAAAGCAAGTCACCAGGTCCAGGACTCAAACTGTGGTGGACCATGTGGGAGTTCAGTGCCTTAATCACCATGCCACCTGCCAGCCCTAACATATGCATTTTAAAAAGACACATGCAATCGAGCCATAGCACCACATGAGGGGGAAAAAACAGACTCAAATTACCACATAGAAAAAAAAGTCCATGTGTACTAAAGATCTAAATGCTTTTCAAAAATCATAAAGCACATAGAAAATAACATTCACATGAAGTATTTGCCATGTGCTGGGCACTATTCGAAATGCTTTACACGTATTTATTCACACAATCCTCACTATAAGCCCACTGTGACTTGGCTGACACACAGAGACCTTACAGATACTAACAACAAAACTGCTAATTAATTATGAAATATACTTTTAAGATGTGTCCCCATTTTAGAGATTTTAAAATGTGGGACAATGTGCATATCAGAATTGATGGAATACGTTTAGCCTAGCTCTTTCATTTCCAAGGCTGTATGGTCACTTGGATTTCTCCCAGTCGCCTAAAACGTAGCGCTCCATCTACCCTGCCAAACCATTTTCCTGCATTCTCTGCCCTAGAAACACAAGACTTACGTCAAACTCTTCCCTTTTTTTTTTCTACATAGGAAAAGTCTTTCCCATCCTAATTCTGCCTCCTGTATCTGTTTTTGTTTTTTAAAGAGAGATTTTAGCTATAGGGAGCCTATGCTTGCTGGAGAGACAGAGACAGAAAGCAAGAAATCACCCTCCAGGGTGGATGGCCACACTGCAGTTTCTTCTCCTCCATTCTTCTCTTGGGATCTTGGGCACACATGCACATGTGGCCATTGTGAGTTTTAAGCCACCAGGTCTGGAACTCAAACCACAGATGACTATGTGTGAGTCCAGTGATGTAACCATTATGTCACCTGCTGGTCCCTCTCCTACATCTGTTTTGAATATATGGTCTTTTTGCCCCTCTGTGCAGCTTTGATTCAGGTCTTCTCACTTTAATGCCAGTTGCTGCATTAAACTCTTAGTGACTTTCCACTCCTCTAATTGATTCCTACTCCAAACTGTCCTTAAGTTTTATTTCTTAAACATCAATCTGATCATACTATTTTTTGCTTTATAAACCTACAAGATTAAAAAAAATCCAAAAAAACCCCACAAAAGGCAAAGTACATGAATAGCTGCCTCGCAGGAGAGAAAGGCACATACATTCACATTTGAAAATTTTTATTCTTCTTAAGAAACAGATGTAGGGAACCAGCAGTTAGCATAATGGCTATGTCGCTGGACTCCCACGTAGTCGACCGTGGTTCGCATCTTGGACCCGGTGGCTTAAATCTCACACCGGGCGCGTGTGTGTGCGTGCCCAAGATCCCGAGAGGAGAATGGAGGAGAAAGGACTGCGGTGTGACCATCCCCCCGGGGGGTGATTTCTCGCTTTCTGTCTCTATGTCTCTCTCTGTCTGTCTGGCGAGTGCACACGTCCTATAGCGAAAACCTCTCAAAAAAAAAAAAAAAAAGAAACAGATGTAATGACATTTTTTTCCACCTATTCAATGAGCAGGGTTTAAGGAAGTTTTTAGTTTTTATTATGTCTCCCATAAGTCCAAGATGAAGTTTTTTTAAATGTATTTTTCCCTTATGCTTCTAAAATGTAATCTCATTTAGACCCTCTAATCTTATAGGGGCAAACCTGCATGTCATGTTCCCATTTCTCCAAGGGTAGGTGTGGTGAGTTACTGCTCAAAGTCCTTTGCTCTCTGACTCTACAGACCAAGAGACACTACACTCTTTGTTTGGAATGTAGCAGCGATATAAACAATGTTAGTTTTAGCTGTCATTATCTCAAGCAGGCTGTAAGCAGGTCTCTCTGTGAGAGCTAATAATTCATTTCTAGTGAGAGCAGTGAATGATTTCTATTGAAAGCTTGACCAGAGTGACTCCATCTTGTAAGCTGGCTCCATCTCACTGTAAGTGTGTGTGTGAATCTCTTACCTGGCTGGCTCTATGGAGGGAGCTCCTACGGAGGAAATAGCCTGAAGCCATTTCCCAGTGAATCAATCTTTTTCCTTTCTTTCCTTTTTCTTCCTTTCTTCCTTTCTTCCTTTCTCCCTTTCTCCCTTCCTCCCTTCCTCCCTTCCTCCCTTCCTTCCCTCCTTCCCTCCCTCCCTCTTTCTTTCTCCCTTTCTTTCTTTCTCTCTTTCTTTCTTTCCTCTCTTTCTTTCTCTCTTTCTTTCTTTCTCTCTTTCTTTCTCTCTTTCTTTCTTTCTTTCTCTCTCTCTCTCTCTCTCTCTCTCTTTCTTTCTTTCTTTCTCTCTTTCTTTCTTTCCTTTCTCTCTTTCTCTCTTTCTCTCTTTCTCTCTTTCTTTCTCTCTTTCTTTCTTTCTTTCTCTCTCTCTCTCTCTCTCTCTCTTTCTTTCTTTCTTTCTTTCTTTCTTTCTCTCTCTTTCTCTTTCTTTCTCTCTTTCTCTCTTTCTCTCTTTCTCTCTTTCTCTCTTTCTCTCTTTCTCTCTTTCTCTCTTTCTTTCTTTCTTTCTTTCTTTCTTTCTTTTTTGACAGTTGACAGTATCTATAGCCGGAATTTGTTTATATAAAAGTTGTCCCTCGGCTGGGTACCATAAACTGCTTTGTTTAAATCATCCCAGCTCCGATTGCGCTCTGGGGAACTTCATCCACCACCTGTTCCAAATCTTTGACACAAGTATCCTGGTCAACGCTGGGTATTCGGTAAAAATCTTAGGGGGGAAAAAAAACTTAACAAATGTGTCGTAGATTTCTGCAAGATCAAAGGCATACCTTTACAACAGTGAAGTGATTTTCAGAGACAGACAGACACACGGTACCTATCTCACATGCAGACTGAAAGCGCGCTCTGACGTCTGAGAGCTGGTACACCCCAGCACCTGGGGCCGACCTTCCCCGCTTCCCTACTTCAGGAGGACTTACCCGGAACCTTTCCTGTAGGGACTGAGGCAACCCGTCCGGGCGACTCCGCTGAACACACAACAGAGCAAGGACTAGTAGGCTAAGTATATGCCTGAAATTTGTAGCTCACCTACATATTCTCGGAGAAAATTGCCTCAAATTATTGCACTCTTAAAATTCCCTACAGACTGTCACGGTTATATTCCTTTAAAAATGTTATAACTAATTTATTCAGGCACTGTTTATGGTCCCTTTTGGTTAGGCATATTTATGGACAGCTCCCTTGAAACAAATATGGAAGGCGGGGGAAGAAAGCGGAAGCCGCGGGGTCTTCTAAGTCAGAAAGTCTCCCGAGCTTGCGCCAGACTATTCGCGGCGACCCGCACTTAGAAGCAGGTCTTAGGAGTGGGCGGTGGAAAGGCGTTGTTGCAGAAGCTGCGACCGGGCGGCCGGAGTCCGCAGGGATGAACCTCGAGTTGTTGGGTGAGGAGGGTTATGGCTGCGTCTTTGAGAAACCCTTGGTACTGGACAGGCATGAACCCGGGCGGGTTGGGACTCAGGCTGCAGTCTTAGAACACTGTTCTATGATAGATCTTTGGGTGCTCTTGATGTGGAGCAGCAGCCGCTGTAGCTGGAGGAGGAGGAATCCCATTCTACTCGGTCCGAGGAGAATGCTTTGCTTTTCCCGAGGCCACTTTCAGATCAGTTGTGGAGCGACAGGTACAGTTCGTGACTTAGCTGTGCTTTCAGAGATCGCAGGTGCCTAAGTAGCGCAGAGCAAGCAGAACAAGAGTTGATGCAGATGGAATCTGAGAAAGTGAGGCTTGGGGTGAATCTTTGAAGACTTGTCAAGGGATTGGATACCTGAACAGGTTAAATATTTTTGTAGAAGCATGGAATGTCTAAGGTGGGGACTTGGAGGTGTTCTAGTAGGAGTTTCTCATTGAATAGATGAAAAAAGGCTCAGATGGTCGTGACTATGCACAAAACAAGTAAATAGCATCGTTGGCACCGGAATCTAGTTATCCCGACTTACATTATAAGGTCTTTGACTGCCTGGGACTTGTGTAAAACACTGATGAATGAACAGAGACAGTTTGCTTTTTGTCACCCTCTCAGTAATTTCCTCCCTATCTCTTACCCAAGTTGTTGCCCTGAAGCTACATAGCTAAATAAGACATTTTTCAAACTTACTTTCACCACAATTTACAGAAATATATTTTCTATCTGGGACCAGCAGTTAGCGTAATGGCTATATCGCTGGATTCCCACGTAGTCGACCTGGTTCGAGTCCCAGACCCGGTGACTTAGACACTCGCCGGGCGGTGTGCATGCGTGCCTGGGATCCCGAGAGGAGAATGGAGGAGAAGAGATTGCGGCATGGCCATCCCCCCTGGGGGGTGATTTCTCGCTTTCTGTCTCTCTGTCTCTCTGTCTGTCTGGTGAGCGCACGCGCCCTATAAGAAAATAAAAACCTCTCCAAAAAAAAAAAAAAAGAAATATATTTTCTATCACAGTCCATTATATATGTATATATATTAAAAAACTAAATTTCTCAAAATTATACTTAACCTCATTATGCATAGCTTCCTTTGATATTTTTTGTTCTAATTTATTAAAAAATTGTTACAAGTCACTAAATTATTTTATCCATTTATGGGGAATTGAGTCCTTCCTTTTGAAAAATACCAAATAAGATACCACTTTGCCCTGGATAAATACATAGAACTAGAAGAGAGACCAATGTAAACATGCTGGAGAAGATCATTCCCAATGGAAAGAACAGGGGCAGACATTCTGAGGTGGTTGGTACGTGGTACCTTCAGGAATGATCAGGATGCTGCAGCTAGTGGTTGGGGTGGTTGACATTAGGTTTTGTATTGGGTGCTGAGGGGTAATTAGCCCAAGATAAAATGGAAAATACTGATTGGGGCCAGATCAAAATAGCTTTCTAAAATTATACTTAGCAGTTTCATGTGTTGTTTAGCAAGAAAGGTTTTTAAGCATTCCAATGATGTGGTGAGATTTGGGTCTTCGGAAGTTGGCTCTTGAAGCTTTCTGAAAGCTTGATTGAAGGAGGCAAGGCTGGAGGCAAGGCAATGCAGTAATCGTGGTAGGGATGGGCTAGGTCAGTAATCTAGACACCTGCGAGCTGCATTTCTCTAAAAGAAACATTGACAGTGTTGTCACCTGTCAGAGGAGGCAGCTGGAGAGCACAACTGTGGACCTCAGCTATTACCACAAGGAGGAGTTGTTGGCCAGTAGAAGAAGAGAGGACTCATAGGAGAAATGGTCATTGAAATTTTAGAGTTGATGGCAATCAAAGTCTTTAAGGAGGTGGACGTTAAGGAATTCAGAGAATAGAAATTATTTCATGCTTTAAAACTGGAAGGAAGAAGACTTAGAAGTCTAGAAAGCTAAAAGGCTGTTTGGAGAAAGATCCTTTTCTTTGTTTTCTCTCTTAAAGGTTTTTGCCTTAGGGCGCTTGCCAAAAAGAGAGACAGTGAGAGGGAAAGTGAGAAATCACCCCCCTGGAGGAATGGCCAGGCCACAATCCCTTCTCCTCCATTCTCTTACTGGGATCTTAGGCACTTGCATATGCACCTGGCATGAGTTTCTAGTCTCCGGTTCCATGACTCGAACTGTGGTGGGATATGTGAGAGTCCAGCAACATCACCGCTATGCCATCTGCTGACTCAGAATAAAGATCCTTAACAAGAAAATAGAGGAGATCTCTGAAGAAGCTGTAGCATTGTTCTAAAAGCTGGCTAAACTCGGGTTCAAAAAAGGCATGTACTAAAGAGGGGCACATCTGAGGTGACAGATGAGGGTGGCACAGGCTTTTAAGATTAGTGTTAAGGGGCCAGCTTGTGGCATGATGGTTAAGGTGACTAGATTCCAAATGGCCAACCATGTGGTTTGAGTACTGGACCTGGCAGCTTGAAAACATGCAGGTCCCCAAAGGAGGGAGAAATGGAGAAAGAACTGTGGCCATTTCCCATGAGGTATGCTTTCTCCTCCCTAATTTCTCTCTCTCTTTCACTTCTGGCAAGCACTCAGCCCTCTGACAAATAAAAGAAAGAAAAGAAAAGAAAAACCCTGGTTAGGTAGAGATTTAGGTAGGTCACTAAGCTCACATTGCTTGGCTGGATGATATTCCATGGCCCTGAAGGAGCTTGTACAGAAAGTTACCCTTGGTGATCATTTGAGGAGAGAGGAAGACATAGGAATAGATGGGCAAATTTGATTTTGAGTAAAGGGTGGTGTGTTTTGCAAAGTATAGACCAGTAACCTTGAGGTCAAATTCAGGTATAATTCTAGAGGCTTTTTAGTGTTATTAAGAATATGTTTTCTGCAGGGCCAGCATGTGGCGTAGTAGTAAGGTGCTGATTCCCACATAGTTGACTGCAGTTTGAGTCCCAGACCCAGCGGCTTGAAAATGATGGAGGGTGCATGTGTGCGTGCATGCCCAGAATCCCAGGAGGAGAATGGAGGAGAAGGGATTGCGGTGTGGCCATCCCTTTTGGAGGGATTTCTCACTTTCCCTCTCATTGCTTCTCTCTGTCTGCAAGTGCATGTGCTCTATGACAAAAAAATATATCTTTCTGGGCCAGCAGGTGGCATGGTGGTTAAGGCACTGGATCACCTGGCCGGCTCTGGGATTTGAGTCCTGGACCCAGTGGCTTTGTCTGTCTGTCTCCAGGGAGTACTTATACCCTATGGCAAAAAATATTTTAAAAAAAAAAAGTGTTTTCTGGGTCAGTTCCCAATATCGCCAGTTTTTAACAGTATGAACTTGGGAAATGACAAACTCGTAAGCCTAATTTTCTTCTATGAAATTGGATATGAGAGCACCCGCTTAAGAGTGAGTCGAGAGGACTAAATGAGATAATGTGCAGAAAGTCTAATATAAGATCTGGTATTTAGTAGGTAAGCTACTAGTAATGAATGGAGAATGTCAAAGAAATGGTGAGCCAGCATGAGTTTATGTCTGAAAATGTCCATGGACCTCGGACCTGTTATGTCATTCAGTGCTTTTCAAATTAACAAATGTAGTACATCCAAAAGAGACTTCAACAGTTCATGGAAAAGTGGAAATATACTAGTTTATTTGAGTGTAGAAATTCTTTTAAATCCACACATAGCTTTTTCATAATATGCATTTTTGCTGAACTTTTTGAAGACCACCTTGCATTTGTTAACATTGTGGGAACAATACAAATATACATACAGAAAAGATGATTTCCCCTTATCTCCCAGTGTGTCTCATACCTTTTTCTTTGGTGATATAAACATATTTTTCTTTGGTGATATAAACATATTTACGCACACTTTTTTTTTTTTTAAAGGATTTTGCCCTAGGGCATGTGTGCTTGACAGAGACAGAGATAAAGAGAGAGCAAGAGAGAGACAGTGAGAAGGAAAGTGAGAAATCACCCCCCAGGGGAGATAGCAAAGCCACAATCCCTTCTCCTCCATTCTCCTCCTGGGATCTTGGGCACACATACCCAGCACGATTTTCAAGCCGCCAGGTCCGGGACTCTGACTTGGTCGACCATGTCCAGTAACCACTATGCCATCTGTTGACCTTGTACATACATTTTTGAGAGCTTTACTTTTGCTTTTTAAAAAAAAAAAAAATGCTAGAGGGCACATGTATTTGCAAGTAACAGAGGTGGCCTGGAGTGAGTGATAACTCCTTGCTGACTGTAGCCACACTGCAGTCACCTCCAGTCTCCACTTGAGATTTGGGGCATGCACACACATGCAGCCACCATGTTTCTCAAGCCACTGGGTCGAGGACTTGACCTTGAAGTCATCCTTGTGGGATCCAGCCACCTTCTTCACCATAGCACCAGTTCTCCCACTATCACTATAGAGTTATGTGTTACTTTAGTAACTTTAAAATGTTCTTTCCAAAAGGCCTATCTTGATATGGTTTCAACAGTTCATTCTTCCGTTATAACTGAATGTTGTCAGCGACCTTAAGTAGACAAATCAAATTGTTTGGCAGTTATTTACCTTTATTTTCATCTTTCTTTCATTTTTCTTAACTGTAGGGCCTGTATTTCTTTTGATTAGTTTTTTGAGAATTATTTTGTTTTTATTATTATTTTAATTTGCTATAGGGGACATTCACTCATCAGAGAGAGGGAGAGAAAGCAAGCCAGCCACCAGGCCTGGGGCTCAAACTGTGGTTGACCATGTGGGAGTCCAGCACCTTAACCACCATGCCATCTCCTGGCCCTCTCTTTTGATTAGTTTTAATGTTTTTAACTAATTTTTATGATGGATGCAATGGAGTGAAAATAATTGTCAAACTTTTTAAAAGCAGTAGACTTCCGTTTTAATTTAATCTTACTTGGATACCCTATATTTAAAACTACTTCCTTGGACCTGTAGTTCTCAGAGTGTATTTTAAGAAAATACTGTAGTAAAATACTCAGGTAATTACATAAATAAGTTCTGACGAAGGTGGTGTTGCTGCTGAAATCAAACTTTTGACAGGTAAGGAGTATCTCCATACATAGTACTATGGCTTAAAATAGTTATTGCAAATGTACAGGTGCTGAATTTAATATAGGAAGGGCATTGAAGGATGTCAGTTCTGAAGTGTGGTTTGTTTAAGAAATGACTATAAAGAATTGCATGTTTAATCAACTACCAGATTTTGTTAGAACCTGAATACTAGTCAAAAATGGAATGATCATAGTCAAAAATGGAATGATCGTTGCTGGTTGGCTGCTGTTAATAAAGGTTTCAGAGAGTACCTGGGACACAATTTGAATGATCTGACTATTAACTTTCCTTGCCCTTCATTTTAGTAAATAAGGAAATAATTGTGAAATGCCCAGAGAGGATGATGGGAGAAAGACTATTGATAGGCCTGGATATATTGAATATGTCAACAGTTCTCATACTTTTTAAGTTCTGGATCTCTTTATACTTTTTAAGAGGTTGATTTTCAAAGAATATTTGTGTTTGTTTTTTTTTATGGAATTATGTCTACTGTTTTTTTGCTAATTTAAAAGTTAAAAGTGAGATTTTTTTTTTTAAATAATGTATCCATTATGTGTTTATATAGTTACTTTGTCTTGGAGAACAACATCTAGTGAAATGAATGGCTGTTATTTCACATTTTTGCAAATCTCTTTAACATTCCCCTAAATGGAAGTTGGGTAGATTCTTACACTCTCTTGCACTCTCTCTTGCAAAATCCCAGGTCATGTAGCCTCATCAGTATACTTAGGAGATACTGAGAGTGAAAAGGGCAGATACCATCTTAAGAGGATAGCGAAATGGGCGTGACTCACGGAAGCCCTGAAAGGGCATCAGTTTCCCTCTGCACTTAGCAAACCCTGCTGTACAGGGTTCCTGAGCGGCATGAGCCTGTATGTGACACGTGTTCCATCACCTCCCTTTCTTTGCTTTGTTGCAGAGTCCTTTGGACAGAACTATCCAGAGGTAAGAATACATAGTTTGCCTTGATTTAATACCTACCTAGTGTTTTTTGTTTTATTAAAGAATTATTTAATTTTTATTATTTAATTAAAAATTTTTATTATTTTTTTTAAAATTTGCTATAGGGACATGTGCTCACCAGAAAGAGAGAAAGCAAGCTGCCAGGTCTGGAACTCAAATCAGGGTTAGCCATGTGGGAGTCCAGTGCCCCAACCACCACACCACATGCTGGCCCTAACTACCTAGTTTTCATGTTGAATGGAAAATATCTTTTGATCCTCATTTTTGTTTGTTTGTTTGTTTGTTTGAGAGGTTTTTGCTATAGGGTGTGTGTGCTCACCAGAAAGACAGAGACAGACAGAAAGCGAGAAATCATCCCTCAGGGGAGATGGCCACGCTGCAACCCCTTCTCCTCCATTCTCCTCTCGGGATCTTGGGCACGCATGTGCACGCACCCAGAGTGAGTTTAAGCCACCAAGTCCAGGACTCAAACCGTGATCGACCACATGGGAGTCCGGTGACATAGCCATTATGCCAACTGCTGGTCCTGATCCTCATGTTTTTTTAAGGTGTTTTTGCCTTAGAGTGTGTGATTAGGAGATGGGGAGTGGAGAGAGACAAGAGACAGTGAGAGGGAAAGTGAGAAATCACCCCTGAGAGGGGATGGCCGTGCTGCAGTCCCTTCTCCATTTTCCTCCCAGGTTCTTGGGCATGCACACGTAGCCAGTGTGATCTTCAAGTCACTGGGTCAGGACTCAAACCATGGTCGGCTATGTGAGAGTCGAGAGACATAATTGCCATGGCATCTGCTGGCCCTTTTTTTGTTGTTGTTGTTCCCATGATAAGAAACTAAATGTTTTAATTTTGAGCAGAGGTGAAATAGATAAGTAGTATTGACTGGAAATCTCACCATAATGTTTTGTGCTCATATAGATCATTTTCATTTAAATTAAAAACAAAGTCTTTGAAGGTCTTGATCCATATTTTTACGTAGTAATAATATGTTTTAAGTGAGCTTTAGTAGTCATTATGGTTACTTAAAATGGCTTGATGGTGATATAATTTGACTTTTCTAATGTTACAGATAGAGGCTATCTTTGAGTTTTTTTGTTTTAAATTATTTTTCTTGAATAAGTTGCAGAAACTATGATTACCAGGCCACGTGGGAGTCCAGCACCTTAACCACCATGCTACCTGCCAGTCTCCTCTTTTTTTTTTTTGGAGAGGTTTTTGCTATCGGGTGCATGCGCTCGCCAGAAAGACAGAGACAGACAGAAAGTGAGAAATCACCCCCCAGGGGGGATGGCCACGCCACAATCCCTTCTCCTCCATTCTCTTCTTGGGATCTTGGGCACACACGCACACATGCCTGGTGTGAGTTTTAAGCCACTGGGTCCAGGATGCGAACCGCGGTTGACTACATGGGAGTCCAGCGACATAGCCGTTATGCTAACTGCTGGTCCCTCAGTCTCCTCTTTTGATGTGTTTTAATATTTTCATTTCTGGTTTTCTACTGATTTTTATGAAAGATGCAATGGAGTGAAATAATTTTCAAACTTTTTTTTAAAGCAGTAAGACTTCCTTTTTAATTTCATCTTACTTGGATGCCCTATATGTAAAACTACTTTCTTTATAACTGATTTTTGTGATATCAATATTTTGCCCATTTTCCCTTCAGAAAGTCTGTGCAAAGTATAGTGATATAACAGATCGATCACATTTATTCCCCAAAATCTTTGGTTAGCTTTTGTAAATGTTTCTTTTTGTCTATTTAATAAGTATAAGAAGACAGAGATTATTTTGGTATACATTGTGATTTAAGTTCCAGAGAAATGGATGAGAAGATATTTGGATACCCGTGTTATGTCTGTCTTGATTTTCAGGAAGCCGATGGGACTTTGGACTGTATCAGCATGGCCCTGACCTGCACCTTTAACAGGTGGGGCACTCTGCTTGCAGTTGGCTGTAATGATGGCCGAATTGTCATCTGGGATTTCTTGACAAGAGGCATTGCTAAAATAATCAGCGCACACATCCATCCAGTCTGCTCTTTATGGTAAGGGACCTTTAATGTGTTAAGTATGAGTTAAGTTAGAGGAATGAATGGTGACCATGTATTTGCCAGTCCCAGTATAGATATCGTAATATTTAGGGTCTTAAATACTCAGCGTTCGTAATAGCATATCTCATAGTTTATGTAGACCCTGAGCTTGCGCTATCCTTGAAGCACCTTTGTAGGGAGAAATTTATTGTAGTATGGATCCATATCAGGCTTTGGGAATATTTCAGTACTGAAATGAGATATTTACAGATTGTAGTTGTAGTGTAATTATGAAGTTGACCTTTCATTTAGAATAAGAAACCTCGATTAGGAGGGAAGCTTAGAAATCAACTAGTCCAGGGACCAGCAGATGGCATAATGGTTATGTTGCTGGACTCCCACGTAGTTGACCAAGGTTCGAGTCCCAGCCCCCAGTGGCTTAAAACTCATGTGGGATGTGTGTTTGTGTGTGTGTGTGTGTGCATGCCCAAAACCCTGAGAGGGGAATGGAGGAAAAGGGATTGTGGTGTGGCCATCCCCCTGGGGGATGATTTCTCGCTTTCTGTTTCTCTGTCTTTCTCTGTCTCTGGCAAGTGCATACTCCCTATAGCAAAAATCTCTCTTTAAAAAAAAAAAAAAGGAAGCATCTAGTCCAGCCTTTTCCAAGTTCTGGCATCTCATCCATTATAGTTAGATCACAAGTATTCCTATCCCTTCACTAGAGTGTAATTATTAAGGCTCTCTAACAGATATAATGAGTTGAAATCTGCTGTTATATAAATTCCCACTGATTTCACTTTTAACTCTTTGAAACCATTGCTTCAAAACATTTTATTTTGAGGCTTAATTTTCAATCCGCTGGATCTAGGACTTGAACTGTGCAGTTGGCTATATGGATTCCAGCCACCTTAACCACTATGCCACATCTGTCCCTATTTTCAGCTTTTTGATGGAACTCCCTATCATGTCTTCTTTTTCTTCATTTTCGTGTTTATTCATGGTGATTGCATGTGTACACATCCACATAAGAGAGCGAGGGAACGAGGGAGGTGGAGAGAGGAGCGTCCTCCACAGAGTCTGGTCACACTGTGATCCTGTTCCTTCGGTTCTTAAGCCTGTCATATTCTGGGCACTGATGCATGTGCTTGGTGTGTTTCCGGCTGAGGCAGGCTAGGGAATGACACCTGCCTCATGGGGTCTGGCTTTCCTGGAAGAGCGCTTCTGCACTGCCATGGAGCTGGCACACACACTGTTTTCCATAATGGCTGTACTAGTTACCTTCCCATAGTGTATAAGGGCTCCCATCCTCTGCATCGTCACCAGCATTTGTTACCTTTTGTCCCCCCCCCTTTTTTAAATCAGTAATTGCCAGAGGATGCATGCACTTGCCAGAGAGAAGGGTAGGGAGTGTGAGAACACATCCCCCAATGGGGCCTGGTCACATCACAACCCCCCCAGGGGATATGGCCATGCTGTAATCCCTTCTTCTCTGTTCTCTCAGGATCTTGGGCATTCATGCACACCTGCCTCATGCGCTGCTGGGTCTGAGACTCAAACGGCACAGTTGTTCATGAGGGATCCAGCGCATTAATCCTCATACCACCTGCTGGCCCAGAAATCCTAATTCTTGAGTTTACGGAAGTTGGAATTAGAGAGTATTATTATTTTAAGTTTGCTTATTATTCCTTGAGTGAGGCAAATACACAGACACACGGACACACACACAGATTCAGTACCCTGCTGGAGTCTTCATGCTGCAATTCATCCCACAGCGTCATTCTGTTCTATACTCAGACTGTGCTAAAAGGCTTCCAAACAGCAGTGAAAGCTAGCCCTTGTTACTCCCCACTGTCGGTCTTGTGCCACGCCCAGTGTACTTTCATCTGCGGGGAGGTTTGATCTGATGTTTTTCTTTTTCTTTTTCTAAGTTATTATTATTACTTTTTTTTTTTTGGACAGATTTTCACTATAGGGCGTGTGCACTCGCCAGACAGACAGAGAAAAACATAGAGACAGAAAGCGAGAAATCACTACCCAGCGGGCATGGTCACGCCACAATCCCTTCTCCTCTATTCTCCTCTCAGGATCTTGGGCATGCATGCACACGCGCCCGGCGTGAGTTTTAAACTACCGGGTCCAGGACGCAAACCGTGGTCGACTACGTTGGGAGTGAGTTAGGCAACATAGCCATTACGCTAGCTGCTGGTTTCCTAAGTTATTACTATTACTTTTTTCACTGTATAAGTGAATGATGCAGATGGCATCCCCCATAGGGCCTTTTTTTCTTTTCTTTTCTTTTTTTGAAAGGTTTTTGCTACAGAGTGTGTGCGCTTGCCAGAGAGACAGAGACAGAGAGACAGAAAGCAAGAAATCACCCTCCAGGGGGAATGGCCACGCTGTAATCCCTTCTCCTCTATCCTCCTCTCAGGATCTTGGGCACCCACGCACACATGCCCAGTGTGACCTTAAGTTATTTATTTATTTATTTATTTTCATTTATTTTTTAATTTGACCAGAGAGAGATAGAGAGAGAGAGTGAGAGAGAGAGGAAGTGAGAAAGCAAGCCACCAGATTCAGGACTTGAACCCTGGTCAGCCATGTGGGTGTGTCCAGCGCCCCAACCACCAAGCCACCTGCTGGTCCCCTCCCCTCCCCCCCGTAGGGTCTTCATGCCAGTCTGCCAGATCCAGGTCATGGACATACATGTGTGCTTGTATTCTCTTTTTTTTTTAAAGAGATTTTTGCTATAGGGCGCGTGTACTCTCCAGAAAGACAGAGACACAGAAAGATAGAAAGCGAGAAATCACCCCCCAGGGGCGATGGCCACGCGCAATCCCTTCTCCTCCATTCTCCTCTCGGGATCTTGGGCACGCACGCACATGCGCCCGGCATGAGTTTAAGCCGCCGGGTCCAGACTTGAACTGCGGTCGACTACATGGGAGTCCAGAGACATAGCCATTACACTAACTGCTGGTCCCTGTGCTGTATTCTCAAGAAGGCATCCAGATTCAAACTGAGGGTCCGTGTTGCAGACCCTCGGGTTTTATGGTGCCGCTTTCCAGCCCCTAACTTTGTATTTCCAAGTATTAGGTCTATTGCTTTTTCTTTGTCAATTTCATCAACTGTTCCTGGGCTTCCTGTTACTCTCACCTTCCCCTCATCCACTGATATTAGGTGGGCTACTGGCTTTTTTGTTATGGACTCTCATATTTTGGCATCTTTAGGCCTCTTTGGGATTTACAGTCTCTAAAAGTATCTTCTAATAGTTTTTCTGCCATGTAAGCCTGACTCCAGGTGTTAGGGAGCTAATAAAGAGAGACAGGAGAGTCCTTTCTGTGCAGCCTCAAACTTAATCCTTCCATTTTGATTTCTTCAGATTGCTCGTGCCTTCCTCTGTTCCTGGAATCCCAAGCCTGAGTACATTTGTCTTGCCTCTGATACAACAAATAATTATTTTTCAAGGAATTATTTTTATTTAACTTTAATTAATTAATTAATTAATTATTTTAATTTGACCAGAGAGAAAAAGTGAGAAAGCAAGCCACCAGGTCCAGAACTCCAACCTCAGCCAGCTATGTGGGAGTCCAGTGCCCTTAGCCACTATACCACTTGCTGGTCCACAAATAATTATTAATGTTTTTTGAGCTCACATTAAATGCCAGACATTGAGCTAAAAGTTTCATATCTGTTAACTTCTTTCAGCAGTCCTCTGTAAGTAGATAACTGTTATGATTCCCCTGTTATAGATGGGGAAATTGAAGGTTAGGGAGATTTTGTAACTTGCCTAAGATCACACAGCCAGCAAGCTGTAATAATGTCTAGGCTTGAACAGAAGTCTGACTCTAGAGCCCTTAATGATATCTTACTGTAGTTGTTAGTTTTTTGTATCTTTCCACTCTAGAGCCCATGTTCTTAACCCCCAAACCTTTTTTTTTAAGAGAGATTTTTGCTATAGGGCATGTGCACTCACCAGAGAGACAGAGAGTCAGAAAGTGAGAGATCCCCCTCCAAGGGAGATGGCCACACTGCAGTCCCTTCCCCTCCACTCTCCTCTTGGGATTTTGGACACGCATGCACAGGTACCTGGCATGAGTTTCAAGCCACTGGGACTCAAGCCACGATTGACTGTGTGAGAGTCCAGCAATGTAACCATTATACGTACCATCTACTGGTCCCATAACCACAGAACTTCTACGACCTGCTAAGTTCCTCAATGTCTGTAAATACAGGTTTTGTGTTTATGTTTAACCCTTCTGCTTTTTGTTTCTCTGTTTCCTGCTTCCATTTTGCAAAATTTTAGAATCCCATTTGGATTTATCCATAGTATTTTTGAGTATACTTCTTTGTAAAGCTTTTTAATGGTTACTAGATAATACTTAAGATGTATATGACTTACTAAGCCGCCTGGTGTTAGGGTAGGTAGGTAGTCTGACCTGAGTGGAGAGGGGAGAGTCTAAGAGTCTGTTGGCGCTGTGCATGGCACTGCCCATGGGAAGTGCCCCAAACCTCCCTTTTAAAGGCTGTTTTGCAGTTGGAAATACCCTGCTGCTCAAGATAGGGGGCAGCACAGAGCAGCTTTTGTAACCTGGAGTAAGGTCTGTATTGAAGGGAGGGAGTTTGCTTAACTTGAAGGGGCCCACGTGACCCGTGCTGAGCTTGGTTGCCCTCTAGTTACTTGTAGCTCATTTCTGTATCTGTATTGACTCACTGGGAGATTATTAGGACCAAGGCCCAGCTGAAAGGGGAGGAGCTGAGATATTAAAGCATACCAGGCAGAATGTTGGTACCCACCCTCAGAGCCAGCCCGCTCCTACCTCTCAGGACCGTACTTTTGCTTTCATTGTTCCCTGCTTGGTACTTCGTTTTACCCTGCTGTCAAGCTTTGTTCCACCGTAGGACTATCTCTTGGCCGTCTTTGCACTAACCCTACTGTTGACAAAATATCAGCACAAGTGAAGTGTAGAAACCTGACCTTCCTGTCATACCTCTCCCTCTCTGGTGTATGATTGTCTTAAGTATTTCTCCTACGTACATTGAGACCCACATAAGAAAGCATTATAATTTTTGCTTCAAATATCAAAACTTAAGGGGAAAAAGTCTGTTTTGTGCCTCCATATCTTTTTTGTTTTGGAGAGGTTTTTGCTATAGGGCGCATTCGCTCAACAGAGAGACAGAGAGACAGAAAGCGAGAAATCACTTCCCAGGGGGGATGGTCACGCTGCAATCCCTTCTCCGTTCTCCTCTCGGGATCTTGGGCACGCACGCACGCGCATGCCCCAGCGTGGGTCTTAAGCCACCGAGTCCAGGACACGAACCGCGGTCGACTACGTGGGAGTCCAGCGACATAGCCATTACGCTAACTGCTGGTCCCTACCTCCATATTTTTATTCTTTATTATTATTATTAAAGTGTATTCATTCTGTAAGTGAGAAAGAGAGAGAGCATGTCTGGATCCTGGGCACATGCGTGCCTGGTGTTCTCAGGGAGCCTCCAGCTGCCAACCAGCAGCCCTCCACTGTGAGGCTGCCTCGCAGAGCATCGTCTTACTGCAGGGCCATCGTCTGACCCTGGTACTCTGCATTTTTCTTTCTTTTGTTTTTAATTTTGCCAGAGGGCATATGTACTCACAGGAAAGGGAGAGGGAGGAAAACACCCTCCTTGAGGAATGGTCACACCACAGTCCCTTCTCCTTCATTTCTCCTTCCTATTCAGATTTTGGGCATGCACACATTTGCCTGACTTTTTTTTAAGATTTATTTTATTTAACTTTTTAAATTTATTTTAAATTTAACTAGAGAGGGACAGAGTGAGAGTGAGAGAGGGAAAGTGAGAAAGTAAACCACCAGGTCCGCAACTCAAACTGCGGTCAGAACTGCTGGGAGTCCAGTGCCCCTAACCACCACGCGACCTGCTGGCCCCTTGCCTGACATGTTTTTCAAGCCTTTGGATCTGGGGCTTAAAATGCACAGTTGGTCCTGTGGGATCCAGCTCCCTTAACCACCCAGCTATAGGCTGACCCTGTTGTTCTTTCTTTCTGATGTTTTGAGATTTCTTTTATCTTTTCATTTTTAGTTAGAGGACTTTGTTTTTTCTTTTCCTTTTTTTTTTTTTTTAAGAGAGATTTTTACTCTAGAGCGTGTGTGCTCACCAGAGAGAAAGTGAGAAACCACCCCCCAAAGGGGATGGCCATGCTGCAATCCCTTCTCTATTCTCCTCTTGGGGTTTGGGCTATGCACGCACTTGTGCCCAGTATGAGTTTCAAGCTGCCAGGTCTGGGACTCGAACTGAGGTCGACTGTGGGTATCTAGCACCTTAACCACTATGTCACCTGCTGGTCCCTTAGGGGACTTTCTTCAGTGGTTCTTTTAGGGCATGTCTTCATCCTTTTGTGCCTGTACCTGAGTCGACATTTATTTTTATTTTATTATTTTTTTAATATGTAACTCTCTCTTTAAAAAAAAACCTCTTGTTTTTTAAATAATTTTTTAAATTATTTATTTATTTTAATTTGACCAGACAGTGAGAGAGAGTGAGAGGAGAAAGAGAAAGAAAGAAAGCCACCAGGTCCAGGACATGAACCACAGTCTGCCATGTGGGAGTCCAGCACCTTTAACCACCACACCATCTGCCCCCCGGCCCCCTCTTTTTTTTTTTTTTTTTTTTTTTCTTTTTAACTTTTATTTGGGGGCTGGCCGGTGGCAGGGTGGTTGGGGCACTGAACTCCCACATAGCCAGCTGACTATAGTTTGTGACCTAGACCTGGAGGCTTGCTTTCTTACTTTCTCTGTCTCTCTACCTCTCTGTCTCTCTCTGGTCAAATTTAAAAATAATAATAATAATAATAATGAATAAAATTAAATAAATCTTTTTAAAGAAAGTTCTCCCCTCTCCTCCCGTAGGCAGTGTGTGCTTGCTTGAGAGAGAGACAGAGAAGGGAAGTGAAAACTCAACCCTCCCCCCAGGGCATGTGGCCACTTTGCAGTCCCTTCTCCATTCTCCTCTTGGGATTTGGGACATAAGCATACACATGCCGGGCCATTTTTTTCTTCCAATATTTCTTTTTCTATTTCCTCTTCTTTTTCTTTTTTTTCTTTTTTAAGAAAAAAGAAAAAAAGGTGTAAGGTATGTGCACTTGCTGGGCACAGAGAGAGAGAAAGGGAAAGTGAAAAATCACCTGGGAATGGCCACACCACAACACATTCCTTCCTCTGAGGTTTGGGGCACATATACGCTGGTGCCAAGTGTGATTTTCCAGCTGCTGGGTCCAGAACTCACACCACGGTCAGTGATGTGGGAGTCCTGTGCCTTAACCACCATGCCACCTACTGGCCCCAAGCCCCACTTTTTTTCTAATCTCCCTCCAGGACTCTGATGACATGGATAATATGTATTTTGTAATTGCTATGGGAAGCATGCACTTGCTAGAGGAAGAGGGAGAAAGCAAAGCCCCTCACAGTGGGATGTGCAATTTCTTCTCCATTTCTTCATCTCAGAGTTCTGGGTACTCATGCACGTGCAGCTGGTGTGTCCTTCAGACCACTGGGACTAGGACCTGAGCCACAGCTGGCCATGTGGAATCCAGTTCCCCCAGTCATACTTGTAATTGTTGAAGCATTTTTATGTCCGCCTAGAAATTCTCATCACATAGTTCTTACATTTGTGTCACCTCTGTGTTAGTGTCTGTTGATTACATTTTTTATTCAAATTGAAATTTCCATTGTTCTTGAGTTGACAAGTGATTTTCAGTCAAAACCTGAGCATTTGGGGTGGTTTTATGACTAGATCTTAAAATGTACAGGGGAAGGAAGGGTGCCATCCTGGTATTGCCAGATGGGGCTGGAAGCCCAGGTTTTTCTCTGGGACCATGTGGGATTAGAAGTTGAGTGACTCCACTGGGGCTCACTGATAGCAATGTCTGGGGAGGATAGGAATGCCTTGTTCTTTCTTCCTGCTTGGCCTTCACTGGCGCTTTGGTAGTGGGACCTCATTACTGCTGGTGGTTGTGAAAGTCTGGCTCCCCTCTGAGACTTCTGGCAAGGTCCTGTTCAGTGGGTAAAGGGGCTTGGTACAGCTGGGCGAGGCTGGACCCTGATGACTGGGGCGGGGGTACAGTTCAGCTGAAGTAGAAGGATTATCGTATTAAAATTTCCTTTCCTTTCTTGCTGGGCTCTCCTTTTCCGATCCTTCAGCTAAGGAACACAGGCTCTTCTTGGGGCTTGGTGTGTGCCCATTGTCATCACTGAGTTATTGGCTTTTCTTCACCCGTGGGATAGTGAGGCAAAAAGAAAGCCAGGAGCCCACCATTGTGTTATGTCTCAGGTTCTGCCATTTCTGTCTTCTTTACCTGTCAGAGTCGTTTAGTGTCTGTGTATACCATGTCAGGGATTTAGTAGGAGGCATGGCTCCTTTCTTAATTACTTAAATAACATCTTTCTGTTTTCTCTGTACTATGATGGTGCTATTTTCAGGACAACTTCAGGAAGTTCAGTTACTCCTTTACTTCCACCTCTCTCCTTACCATAGTTTTTGTTGTATTAATCCTCAAGGACCAGTTGATTTTAGACTCTTCTAAGATGTTTGAGTTCCTGTTATTTTACTAAGACATTTGTAGTGTCATCTCGAAATGTTATGAGTTCCCAATACTAGATAGGAAAAATGTCATAAAAGTATTCTTACTGGGGTCAGCAGGTGACATGGTAGCTAAGGTGTTGGAATCCCACATGGCTGGCCGCAGTTCAAGCAGTTTGAAAATCATGTCAGGTGCATGTGCGTGCATGTCCAAAATCCCAGGAGGAGAACGGAGAAGAAGGAATTGCCACAGGGCCATCCCTGCTGGGGAGTGATTTCTCACTTTCCCTCTCACTGTCTCTTTCTGGCAGGTACACATGCCCTATGGCAGAAACATTAAAAACAGCAACAAGAACAAATTCTTAACTGCTTAATTGGGAAAATTATGGATTTAAGTATACATTTAAAAATGTATTGACATGCGCAGTGAGGGCAATGTGTGCTACTCTCCCGTTAAATATGTGAGTTCTGATATACTTAGAATATGTGCCAAATAACCCCTTTTTTCTTCCTAGCTGGAGTCGAGATGGTCATAAGCTCGTGAGTGCTTCCACTGACAACATAGTGTCACAGTGGGACGTTCTTTCAGGCGACTGTGACCAGAGGTTTCGATTCCCTTCACCCATCTTAAAAGTCCAGTATCATCCACGTGATCAGTATGTTTAATCTAAGCCGTTCTTTCCTTGGGTGGGTCTAATTCTGTATGGATTAGTGCTGGGCTCATGACAATTTCCATGTGAGGTTTTAGGTAGCAAGCGAATATTTCTTCAAATCTTCTTCCCTAATCTTTTTGTCAAGTTTGGTTCTAATGAATGCATTTTAGGGAGACTATTACTGTATTATGTAACTAAAAACTGGCCTATATTAAAACTTTCAAAATGGGCAAAGGTGGGAGTAAGTGTATTAATAATAATTTGGTCATGACCTAAGGGCTTTTCCTCCTTTGCTTATTGAATTTGTCTAGTAGGGGAAAGCAGTTCAATATTAAAACTAAATTTAAGAAAGCGAGTTGCCCACCATTCCATTGCGTGGACATAACTGTTTCATTTCTTTGGGTTCTCTTTAGCCAAGTTCTTTTTAAGTTCAAAGCTAGAGTGCCTCATAGCTCCGTTCATGGTAGATGTACCTAAGTATGCATTTTTTACATCATCATTCTCAACATTTTGCTTTCTTCCTTTATTTCATATGTTATCAGTTTGCTACATCTTCGTATTTATTTCTCATAATTACATTTAATTTTGTTTAAGTTAGGATCCTGTCATTTTACTTCCTTCTTTTCCCTGGTACTAGAGTTGCTGATTTTCTGGGTTTTTTCCACCATTTCAAGTTTGGGAGCGTTGGTGAGGGTAGTGGACAGGGAGCAGGGTAGGGAGGCAGCCTGCTGCACAAAGCAATAGCCAATGTACTGTTCATATTTTTAAACAGGAACAAGGTTCTCGTGTGTCCCATGAAATCTGCTCCTGTCATGTTGACCCTTTCAGATTCCAAACATGTTGTTCTGCCGGTAGACGATGACTCCGATTTGAATGTGGTGGCATCTTTTGATAGGCGAGGAGAATATATCTATACAGGAAATGCAAAAGGCAAGGTAAGTGTGGAGTCTGGAAGTTGGTAAAATAAGTATCAGGCAGCCTGTGTGCATTGGTTCATTTCATCTTTACTTGTTCTACTTCTTTTGAAGGTTCTTTTACCCATGGACTAAGCACAGCCTCTGCTTGAAGCAAATAGAGACTTTTTCCTCTAATGCCTTAAAATAATTTTTGTTCTCTGGATTTAGAGTGGGCAGAGATCGTTTGACCTAGAAAAGACTGAAAGGGCCATTACTGGATGTTGGTAATGAAAGGCCATTCATTAAAAGATTGTAAAAATCTTTTAAAGAATGATATATTTTATTAAATTTGTTATTGTTGTCATTATTTTAATTTGATCAGAGAGACATGGGGGAAAAGTGAGAAAGCAAGCCACTAAGTCAGGGACTTGAACTGCGGTTGGCCATGTGGGAGACCAGTGTCTCAACCACCACACCACCTGCCAGCCCCCTAAATGGTGAAATTTAAATCTTATTATCAACTGGGACACTACTTATGAAAGTATCTTAATATCTGGGGCCGGCAGGTGGTGTGGTGGTTAAGAGTGCTGGACTCCCATATGGCTGACTGTGGTTTGAGTCCCAGACCTGGTGGTTTGCCTTCTCACTTTCTCTCTCTCTCTGGCTCTGTCCCTCTCTGGTCAAATTAAAATAAATAAATGAATAAATAAAGTTTAAAATAATTTTTTAAAAAAGTATCTTAATATCTACTTTCATAAAATATGATATAATTAAGGCTGCCTGAACCTGTAATACAGAGACTTTATTTCTGTTTTCCCTCCTGTTAAATGTCTGACCTTGCCTTTTAAATATTTGGAGGTACAGGCTCTTCTGTCTGCGGTGCATCATAGGTGTTTCTTCTGTAAATTTTGGTCTTTAGGTGAGCCTTAAGGTTCTTTCATACTTAAAGTTTATAGTTCCATTAGCCACTTGTGTGTGTGTGTGTGTTTTAGAATTACTTTATTTAACTTTGTTTGTTTATTTAATTTTATTTTGACCAGAGAGGGACAGAATGCACACGTGCAAGAGAGACAGGGAGAGAGAAAGTGAGAAAGCAAGCCTCCAGGTCCGGGACTTGAACCATGGTTGGCCGTGTGATAGTCCAGTGCCCTTAACCACCACGCCATCTGCCAGCCCCTTGTTTTGTTGTTTCGACTGGAGCATATGGACTAGGGTAATGTCATGGCTACCTTACAAAGTGGCAGTATTTTTAAAAGAATTGTGGTAAAGTATATTAATATTTGCCCCATTAGCCATGAGTGTACAGGTGGGGGTAGTAAATGCATTT